TAGTGCTGCAGCATCCTCTTGAAAACCTCCTGTGAAGGAGATCCCACAACTTCCCCGGGCAGTCCCTTCCACTGCCTCACTCTCTTAACAGTAAGGAAGTTTTTCTTAAGGTTTAGTCTAAATCTACTTTGCAATTTCAAGTCATATAAAAACCACTCAGTAAGTGTACTCCACTCTTGTGCTTCTGATTGTTTAGCTCCCTTGCAAAAATGTCTGTTGAGATTTTTGAGGAAGGGACCAATGTAAAGTCCAGAGAGGGAAAAGAGGTTTCATATAGCGCTTTTCATGCCTAAGATACTTGAAACCACTTTGTACAAAGTGAGTTGTAGATTGGGAATGCAGCGGCGTTGAAGGAAACAGAAGCCCTAAGAGCTTTGTGTACATAGGATGGAAAAACATTGCTGTAAAGTACCGATAGGGACAACTTAAGGTTGTAGTGTGACTCTTCATTCCCAAGCATTGTACAAGCCTTACTTGTGCAGGGTGGCAGCAACATCAAGCATGAAATTCCCACTTTAGTCTGGTTGCTACTGATGCAGTCTACAAAAATCTCTACCCACTGTGGACAGAGACCCACATGCGGTGTTGCCGCGTTAGCCGAGCCAGTCCTCCGGACTTCATCATATATCGGGATGCTTTGTATCGGGAGTCCCCAAGCGTCCTGGGACAGCCATGACTGTACCAAGCTGTGCACGTGGATACAGGTGTGCTCAAACAGTCCTGTGCAAACTGGAAGACATGCTGAGAAGGGAATTGGAAGCCACCTCTCTTTCCAGGCAGTCACTGTCTCGACAGTGGTTTTCTCGCTGAGGAGGGTAGGCTCTGCTGCCCCGTTCAGTGGCCCTGCACACCAAACCCTTCCTGCACCGTGCCTGACTGATGTTACACTGTGGTGCCTGGAAGGGTGTTGAAGTGTGATGATTTTTTTTTTTTTTCCCCCTCCCCGTGTCGTTAGGATGCTGCAGTGCTCCCTACCACAGTACATGTTGGCAGCCCACGGTATAGGAGGACAGGGTGTTAATGTGGATGTGTGCGCCAAAATGCATTAAAAGGGAAATATCATGGCGGCTGCCCCTTAAGACATGGGGAGGGGGGGGGGGAAAAAAGAGCGTGAGAGAACCTAGCCAAGGTTAATTGAACTTGTGCAGTTTCAGCACAATGAGGTTTTTTATAGCTGTGCAATAAACTGCAGGAAAAAGAGTTTACAGTGGAAATGCTTCCAGACATGTTCATTTTCATCTTGGACAAGGCAACCCCTATTGGACTTCTCTGACGCATGGCATTGGAATGGCTCACAAAATAAGCTGCTGTCATCTTTATTGCTGTTGATTACAATTCATTATCTGGAGAGAAGATTGTTCCTATGTAGCCTTTTTGGGGGGGAAGAGGGGGTGTAATTTTTTTTTTTCTTGCGCTGCAGGTCCCTTTTTTGTATCTTGTACTCCCAACTCCTTTAATGTTACTTGAATGTGTGTGTCGTGTTTGTTTGTATTGCCAGGAAATCTGCACTGCCCCCCCCCCCAGCCCCAGCATAGGTAAAGTGCCAATGCAATCAGTGGGATTTGAGGACTGTTTTATATGTAGTACTTAGAATTTACTCTTGGAGTCAGGCATTGAGTGGGAGGAGATGATGTCAAAAGCTTATAATTTCCCCATGTTATGCTAGCTTCAAGGATGAAAAACCACTGAACATCTGATAGCAGAGATCCTTGTGCTCGCTCCTGCTTCTGAGCATGGAGCCTCCACTTAATGAGCCTCTGAGACGTGCTCCTACTATCTCCACCCCTTGCAGATCCCTGGATTTGGTTTTTTTGGCTCTGGGTTGGGGTAAGCAGCTGAGCACTATTTGATTCTCCTTCATTCCCAATCCACAGGTTACAGCAGTGTCAGACGGACAATCTGCTGCTTGGTGCTGCTCCACATCTTGCATTGCCTCCAAATGAAGGCTTGAGGGTTTCATGATGGGTGTCCCCCCGCCCTTAATATACAAGGATTTTGAGGGCACAGCCCATGCCCCCCCTCTCCTCCTACCATGGGTCTGCATCATGTACTTGAGTTAAAAAACCTTGCTGTAACGTGTCGATAGGGACATCTAGGGGTTGCAGTGCCTCAAACCCTGTGACTGCTGTTCCCAAGCATTTTACAAGCTGTTAACCTGGTTACCACTAATGCAGTTTACAAAAATCTCTACTCATTATGGAGAGAGAGAATCAAATGCGGCGTTGCTGCAGTAGCTGAGCCAGCTCTCCAGACTTCATCATACACTGGACTGTATGCTGCTCCGTGACTGGGGTTTTGCAGGACACTAATACCCTGCGTTTCCCCCAGTGATCAGGGGATGGGTTCAGTTGGGATCTCCATTAGGTAGGTCAATTTGAGGAG